GTCAAAATTTTGGTGTCGATCATTCGATTTCATCCTGGACACTACAGAAAATGGGCTAAAAGTGTTAAAAACCGGAATTTTCCTTTAAGAATCTGTCAAACTCCTCCTCCTTGTCAGTCCGCCTGAGATTAACAAATAGAAGCAGCTGATGAGGTGGATCTGATTGTTTGTTTGAAGGAGTGAGGAGTGCAACAGTTTTTTTTTTACACACATCACTTAACTTTATATTTGAATTTTTTTGTAAGTCAACTCTGAGAATATTTCTGTTATTTTTTTTATAAGTAAAGAAAACACCCCTTTTTTGAAACAAGAAAATTCTCCACGAGTGCTTTTTGTTTTATCTGTTTTGAGTCGAAAAACCTCCTCCTAAGACTACTCTGGCAATTTTTTATTTTTTGGGAAACTATTTTGATGCAAGAGTAGCTGTAACACATGGCTTTATCAACCTGCTGCACTAATACAAAGTGAATCCAGTAGAACTTTTTATTGCCTTCCTGGAATGGGGGAGAATAGTTTAATTTTGGCTCTCAAAATGGTATCGGTGCCCTATTTGTTGGTACTCACCGATACCATCATTTTACTGTTGGATCGGGGCCCCGCCTGATACTGATATCAGTGCAACACTAAAAAAATAAATAAAAAATATATATATACATCAGGGAGTATACAGGATTAAATATCTGATTTAATGCTTTTTAATGCTCTTAGAAATAATTATAATGCCACCAACCGGTACCCGTCGACAGGCTGCAGCCCCGAATTCCTCGTTTTCCAACCACTTTAGTTGAAATTGGCATTCTTCCCCATTCTCTAGCTTTTTCTCCGACTCAAGTTCTTTTCTGAACATACATTTTTGCCATCAACCGGAAGCAGTTCCATGCAAACATATCCTGATATAATGTCTGACGAAATTGTTTTTATAAAAAATTTTTTTTTTTAAGACAGCATTTTAAACGCCACAATAAACACATTTAATTAAGTTTAATGCCAATTAAGGCCTTAATTTAAAAAATAACATGACTTTTAATGATTTTTAATGACCCGCGGAAACCCTGTATATATATATATATATATATAATCCTACTATGCCTGCATGATTGTGATTATCATTGTGGTAAGTTCTGGCTGAGGTTAAACTCTTAAATGGAAACAGGAATAAAAATAGCATAATAGTTTAAGCTATTTATTTTTTTTTAAAGAACAGTATAAAAAAATCAGTAATAGTAGTAGCAAGCTCAGTCATGGACAGGTGTCAGGTGTTCAGCTCTTCACCGTCTAAAACAGCAGGTGGCAGCACAGAGCAACTGTCTTAAGAGCAGTTGCTCTTTTAAACAACATGGTATGGGATCGTTGCCTGGACTCCAACACTCGCCGATACGATGCCGGCGTTTTCTGCAGTATTGGAGACATTTCCAATACTGGTATCAGAATCTGAACAACTCTACATCTGATGTTGCTCATAGTGGTCCTCACGTCATTTTCCAACTTAAACTGAGCTGTGATGCAGAGTTCTCTTCCATCAGTTCACTTCTTAATTGTTGAAATCAAACCATTATCCCCATGTTCCCCTCTTGTTAGGCATCCTGTGTCTGTGGCTGAAGTGGTGAGCAGCAGTGGTGTCGCATCACTTCCTGCAGGACCGACTCTAAGTTTGCTCCACTCTACATTTGTGATATCTGTGCTCTCGGATTTTCTGTGGGAAAAGAAAACATAAGGTTTCATCATGGATGCTGTTTGGACAGTCGGTGTTTAGGAGGTTCAGTTTGCTAAACTGATACTAAAATTAATATGGAGTGAATTTTGTTATAGTTGAACACAAAGAACGCTTTTTGGAAATAGAAACTTAAAAAATTATGTAAATTAAAATTTGGAAGTTTGTTTTGTACGATTGTATTTCATTTTTTGTTGTTTATGTTAATTTATGTTTATAGATTGAATTTTATGC